GGATTGATGTAGTCTTTCCTTAAGAACATCCTTAGGTTGGCAGAAAAGTATAACAGCATGAAAAGTGCCACCCTTGTTGCCAGTCCTAATCCTGCCTTTACTGCCTGTTCCACAATATATAAATGAACAAGTATAATATTTTTTACTCATTTCTTTAATTGGGCTCTTTATCTAGTTTTAGGACTTGAGTGGAGAACAGATCATATTTTAGGTTGTATTTATGCAGAAATACTGAAAATTCAAAAGGCTTCACGAAGTTTTAAGCACCACTGTATATCCTACAAAAATAGCCCTAGGGGTATAATCCAAGCATTTGGTCCCCAGTTTGGTGTAGTGGTTAAGGCATCAGGCTAGAAACCAGGAGACTGTGCCTTAGGCACAAGGGTGACCTTGGGCCAGTCACTTTCTCTCAGCTCTAGGAAGAAAGCAATGGCAAACCACTTCTGAAAAACCTTACTAAGGAAACTGCAGGGACTTGTCCAGGCAGTCTCTGAGAATTGGACATGATTGAAGGGATAGAAAAATGAATATGTACCATTTTTAGTCAAGACTTCCTTATGAGTTAGTCTCATTCATTTTCACTCTTCATTTTTGACTGTTGTCTTTTTTTAATTTTTGTTTTTAACATTTTTATCTGTAACTGCCCAGAGTCATTGGCAGTTGGGCAGCGTGTTGTTGTTGCTATCATTAGTTTCCCCAGCGGCTAATATAACCTGTTTCTCCTATCCCTCTCCTGCAAATGATCTTCACATCTAAAAAGCTACACTAAATTTATTTCCTTTACTTCAGGCCAAACGTATTCTGAAAATTTTAGAAGATATCTGAAGTACTAATGCAGTTTTCAACTTCCTTATGCAAAAACCTTATGGATGTATTATCAGTGTAACAGTGGTCTCACCATTTGAGGCTGCTGGAGATATTGGGAATTTTGAGGACATGTGCCTGCCCTCGCAAAATGGCTGCTGGACTCTTTACTCATTCACAAAATGGAAGCCATAGGGATCCAAGTAATTACAAAGCACCAATTTACCTTGCCATCTCCTAGTACAGGATTCTCACCGTTGTTCCTTTTCTGGGCATGGGGGCACAATTCTAACACAGCGCTGAGCTACAGCTGCTCATCATTTTCATTTTTAAAGAAAGCTTAGAACGTGAGAGGCATTCTTGGAAATAAACTCCTGCTGGACTCAAGCTTTGTAGCATGCCAGCTTCCCATTTTTCTTAATTTGAAAGATTTTTTAATGTTCAAAGTCAGATCGGGAGTGAATTTGTCAGGCACCAAAGGAGGTGACTCTGGGTTCATTTATGTTCCTGGGTGCCATGTTGGGGGGTGTATCTTTCCATATATTAATATTTCAACTTTTAATTAATGTGTTATCTTCTCCTGGAGCATATGGTTTGACTTCTGACTACCTAATTTAATTACAAAAAGAACCTTAAATTTGTTACAAACAACTTAAAGCTAATGAAGCTTCAAATCATTATTCTGACTTCTATGAATCCAGCAAGCAATTTCAAAAATCCTTGAAAATCACTCCAAAGCCTTAGTTGGCCATGGCAATTTCTTTACAGATATTTGCTCCATCACTTGTCATTTCAGGACAGCCAAGAAGGGCTGTTACTCTTGAAAGTCTAATCTAAATAATCATTCTGGGCTCCCGTGAATAAAGTATGTGGTGAAAAGATAAATCCAATAAGGATGTAAAAAATAATCCAAAAGTCTTCAGCTTTTTTTTTTTGCTCTGAAAGTATAGGAGTTGGGGCATTCTTCAAAAAGTTCAGCTCACCATAGCAGGTTAGAAGCAAAGGGTTTCCTAACTTAATTACATGGTATGGTCTGAAGAACTTATTACTGTTCAAAAGATGGAAAACAGTGTTGGATGATGGATATCATGGAGGCCTGACAGAAACAAAAAGTTTAGCCAGGACAAAACTATCCTTAATTTCAGAGTATTTTTAAAACAGGTTTTCCAAGCTCCTTCTAGCAGTAAAAAGCATTCCTATGTAGCTATATCATATTCTCAATTATCTGTTTCTCTCATTTCCCATAGTTCAAATTTCAGCTCGAAAGTTCCTCTAGATAGGCCCTCCTGTATTAAGTCAGTGTTTCTCAACCTTGGCAACTTTACAATGTGTGGACTTCAACTCCCAGAATTCCCCTGCCAGCATTCTGATGGTTCACCTTTCACAAACACGTTACAATTGGGAAAACCATGCCTATGACAGCATACACCTTTGTTGTCAAGATGTCTCTGCATGTCAAAATTTGTGTAGATCTGTTAGTCATTCTCTCAAATAGCAAGTGTTTATTTTATGGCAAGTCACTATGCCTCTGAATTTTTAAGCCTAGGAAAATAAAAGTTGGTTACTGTTTCAATTTCTTCTCTATTTGCATTGGGTCAGCATTGCCTGACATATTCTTAGGATTTTTTTTTTTTAGTACTCAGCAGCAGATTGGCTTTTCTACTCCTTTCATCTTCAATAAGAAATTAATCAAAGAGGCATTATCAGCATACCTTAGGTTATTTATGTTTCTCTCAGCAATTCTAATTCCAATTTCTATTTCTTCTAATGCAGCACATCTCATGATATGGTCTGCATATAAGTGAAATAAGGTGACAGTTTACAACCTTGGCACACTTTCCCAGTTTTGAAACATTTTGCTGCTCTATATTCTATTTTAATTGCTGCTTCTTGGTCATCATACAAATTCTTCAGAAGGCAGAGGAGATGCTCCAATATACCCATTGTTAAGGGCTATCCATACTGTGCGGTAGTCTACACAATCAAAAGCGATATAATCAATATAGCAAAAATGGATTTTTTTTGGAATTCCCTTTCTTCTTTAATTACCCATAGGATATTAGAAAGAGGAGCCCTCCTTGTGTTTTCATGGTTTCAGATGACATCAAATGTGTCCTTCAACTCCTCCACTGCAATGTCCAGGGGTCCAAAATCTCCAATCTTAAGTCTCAATCTCATAAAAGAACTATTGTGATAATTAATATTCCTAAGTGAAGCTGAGAAATGTTGCTCCATCTGTGATAAGTACCTTGGAAGCTATCTGCTAACAAGATTGAAATGGAAGATACTACTGGCATGGTACCAGACCCATGAAACAATCTCATACTTTGAAGGATACAAATGTCTCTTTTCTTCGTTACTGTGATGCTGTAGGAGGCACCAATCCTGCTAAGGCTGCACTAAAAATAAATATACAGAATTTTTGAAGGAACTATGATGTTTCTGCTCAGAAAAGGTAAGCATGTAATATGGAGTACAGGCCTTCAAAAGGAATTTTTTTGCAACATGAAAGAATGACCATGGGGGGAAAACCAACACAGAAGTCGTCTTTCAGTCTCCCAACACCATATTAATTCCATGCAAAGCATAAGAAAATTGGGTCAACCCATGCCATGAACTTCTTAAAGGGAAAGGGAGGAATTTCATGGCAAAATTCCAGAGGTCAAAAAACTTCCAAAACCAAACACAAGTTTGAAGGAGCTCACTTAAGATA